TACTTTCCCTCTGTTGTTTCTGTCTGTGTGGGTGGTTGACGGGTGCTCTGGTGGGATTTGCCCCTTCTTTCCAATAAAAAAATCTATCGTCTCTATCCCCCCCTCCCTTTTCTTTGTTGTGTTTGTTACTCTCTTGAAACACCCTAATCTTCGGCAATGATATGACCTTGTTGTGTTGCCGTAAAACTCCTACTAAAACTAAAACTAGGGTGGTTGGAGGGCGCCACTGGTAGAAGAAAAAAAAGAGAGAGAGAGAGAGACAGACAGACAGACAGACAGACAGACAGACAGACAGACAGACAGACAGACAGACAGACAAACGGACTAACAGACCCGTGGATGTCGAAGGTAAAAAGGCTGAATGCTTAGCGATATCTTTGGCACGCCGTGATTCAATTTACGACTATACTCTCACTCAAAGAGGTTATACTCTAACCTGAGAGAGACATGAACAGGGTGAGAAAGAGATAGGGAAGGGAGGGGGGGGGGCAGACACGTCGGAAAATAGAGAGAGAGAGAGAGGGAGACAGAGACATAAGAGAAAGAGAGAGAGGTTGGCAGGGAGAGATAGAGAGAAAGAGAGAGACAGGAAGAGGTAGGAAGAGAGAAAGATAAAGAGAGGGAAAGAGAGAGAGGGAAAGAGAGAGAGAAAGAGGGAGAAGGAGGGAGAGAGAGAGAAAGAGGGAGAAGGAGGGAGAGAAAGAGAGAAGGAGGGAGAGAGAGAGAAAGAGGGAGAAGGAGGGAGAGAGAGAAAGAGGGAGAAGGAGGGAGAGAGAGAAGGAGAAGGAGGGAGAGAGAGAGAAGGAGGGAGAGAGAGAGAGAAAAAGGGAGAAGGAGGGAGGGAGAGAGAGGGAGAAGGAGGGAGAGAGAGAGAGAGAAAGAGGGAGAAGGAGGGAGAGAGAGAGAGACTTGTGTACGTCGAAGGTAACAAGGTTCAATGCTGAGCGATATCTTTGGCACTCCGTGATTCGTTTTACGACTATACTCTCAAAGAGATTGTATACTCTGACCTGTCAATGGCTTTTCCCTTTAAGTACCCCATAAAAAGAAGTACAAGTACAGTTTTATTCTCTAAAATCGTCTCCTTTCGACTCCTTTCCCTCTCTCTAGCTATATTCTGTCGTCTATTTTCGTCTCCGCTTTCTGCCTTTGCCCCCTCCTCTGGGCTCCTGACTCTTTCTGCAGCCTTTCTACTGCTACTCCTTGGCTCCTCCTCACAGCTGTCTTTCAGCCACACCTCTGATCTTCCGGTCGGAAAGATCTACACCTAGCCTTCTCGGACAAGGGCGAAAAATCTCTGAGGGCCCGTGTGCAAGTTGCGCATGTTAAGGATCCGTTGATGGTCTAAAATCGATAAGAGTAGGCTTCGGCCGCTACCCGGGCCAAATTCAAAATTTCCTACCAACTGAAAATATTAGATGTGTCTCGCGGGCTCATATGACCGTATGCAGTTGCGAGCGCCGTAAAACACTTACAAAAAAAAAGGTTATAGTCCAACCGTTCATTGGCTTTTGCCTCTAAGTACCTCGTGAAGGGAAATACAAGTACAGTTATAGACATTAGAAATACTACTACACACACACACATACACAGACACACAGTTCACACACGCTCACACACACACACACACACACACACACACACACACACACACATACAAAGACACACAGTTCACACACGCTCACAC